TCGGTCGCGTGGGACGGACGTGATTTTGTGGGCGCCGCCGCCTCACCACATCACCTCAGATTTTGTACTGTAAATGAACAAAAACATGAATGCCACAAAATGATTTCAGCAATGTTCAATGTGTAAAGATTATCTAAACATATAATAGTAGTATTTCGATCAGAACGACGAATAGTGGTTACGAAAAGAGAGCATTTATTCGCTTTTCCCCGTGAAGGATTTTAAAAGCATTTCCTCACTCGATTACGAGATTTACCCACCTATCTGTCCATTCCTAGCGCCTGGCAAGCGATTATCAGTTGGCAGCCCATATGGGCTGCCATCGTCCCAGGAGCGCATGTTGTTGGCAGCCCATATGGGCGGCCATTAACGGCGCGAATGGGTCGTATAACTATGGGCAGTAACAGTGCTTGGAAAAGGTGACGTTCACGTTTTCGGGAACCAACGCCCTGCGCAAACTTTCCCACAAAAAATCCGACAAAACGTATAGTATGGTAAATGCTGGCAACTTTTTTTGAAAAAAAGAAAGACCATTAGGTCAACGCGGCCAACTAAAGTGTAAGACATACTGATTATGTGTGCTGTGCTCACTATAGTTACTCATAGAAGCTTCTCATAGAACTGTTCTTGGTATATTCTGATATTTTCACTGCAATCGATAATGGTTAAACACCCGTAGCAACCGCTAAAACTGTAGTTTTTGAGGGTTGAATCAGAGGACTTTTTTCTTCAACCCGGTAGTTCTGATTGGAAACGATAGGGCGGCTGTTCATGTCACGAGAGATGAAAAATGCCTTAGCATCAGAAACAGTTCCTCTGCTTCGCTCATTTCATAGCCGTTGAGATGAGAAGGTTTCAACGGAATTAAGGATTACATAACTGCTACCGTTTCGATTTCCTCATATTTGTTTGACCTTTTGGAAAACGCCCAAAAACACCAAGTGTAACTGATGCAATGTGGTTTCTACATTAATGGCATATTTTCTCTTTCACTTTTGTGCCATGTTTTTTGAACTAAAGCCCTAGCGCCCTTGCATAGGACACGACCAGTCCGTGGCAAGTGATTTTATCGACGCGTGGAGGCGAAAATGGAAATGGGGCGTAATAAACATTCAAGAAATGGACGTAGGCCTCCCACGGTGTCATTCCGTCATGCGATTTTGTTTAAAACATCTTGCAGAGCCTTGAATTAACGCAGCGTTCTATTACGTGATCAAATCGATGACCCTATAAGCTGGTCGTTTCCAGGTAAAGTACAAAACGAATATCAGTGGTTTGTTGCTGTTGAATACGCCACGCATTACACTTTTATTGAAAACATTGAAGTCATGGACTTACGTTGATCTTCGGTTCACACAGCGCCAGCCACGCTTGAATCGGTATTTTCGCCCACAGTATGAGTCCTAGCGAAAAACTCGGCAAGAAAATGGTTAGCCCAGAATGGTTCAAGCTCACGAATCCGCAAGGGTGAAAAAGGCATGCTCGCTTTGTTTCCGCCTAGGGGGATTTGGTTTTCCCGACCTGTGATTGATCTCTACGTGTACCTCATTCCATTGCTTTCAGACTAATCAACAGACTTCTAGACAACGGAAGCCGAGCTCCATTCAATCCCAAACCAAAGATGCCATTTCACAAGGTACTTCTGATTTTCCCCAAAATTTTCTCACTCTAACATAACGATGTGGTTCTAGATGGAAAACATCTCCAATTTCCTCGAAGCCTGCAAAGCGTACGGTGTTGCCGAGATAAGCTGTTTCCAGACTGTTGATTTGTATGAGAACAAGCAATGCTATAAAGTCATCGAATGCCTTAGATCATTGGCTGCTGTGGTATGTTACTAGAATTGCTGTGAAACGAGAGTAAAGAAAGTTATGAAATGTAGCGCAATCTGACGGCTGCATTCATTTGCAGGACGTTTTTTGGACGCCTTAAAGGCAGTGACCACGGAGCAGGAGGGTGGTGCAGTTTTGGTGACGACATTGAACGTCATTAACGGGAGAGCATAAAGAGGCGGGCCAACCGCACGCCTAAAGTGGTGAAGATCGATTCAATAATCCATCAAAAACTACAACGCCCCCGCCTGCCCGCCCTCCAGACGTGGCGATCAGTGCCTCAGAATTGGCAGCAAAAATATCAAAATAGCATAAACTTTCTGGAAAAGACCTCTGCGTGGAAAATTGCCGCGAGGTGGTCTCCTGGCCAGAGTCAACCGTGCGTTGCGCAGTTCTCAACGCCCACGTTGCGCAGTTTCGCCCGAATAGACACGTTCTCTCGGCGCGAACATTCACACTCGCATGCTCGAGCCGTCTGTGCTCTCCGCCCATACAGCGTGCGTTGAGATCTCTCACATGCCGTTGAGAACTGGCGCAACGCGCGACTCTGCTCCTGGCCACCTATCCTGTTGACCTCTAACAAGATTTCGCTGATGTTCGCTATAACCAAATACTTAAACGAGCCTGGCGCAGCTTTATGCTATCGGAGGCTGAGATTGGCCGTATAAAGATGAATCAAAAGAGTGAACGGCTCTTAATTTTTTAAAAGCTTAGAGTGTAAGCTCAGTTGTCCAGTGCAGACCAGTTTCTCAGCGATTCCCACAGGGTTCCACTCGCTAACGTAATCGCGAACTTAGAGGCAGAATTTACGGTGAAAAACAACACATTTCAAACTAAGTCAAGGTTTTTTAGTCAGTGTTTCACATGAAAGGAGAACATCATGAAAATGGACCCAGAACGCCGAGTATAAGGACCCCTTCTGCCCGTCGCTTTTCGCATGGATGCGAATCTCGCAACGTTTATGTCCTCTTTCAGTCTCATGCTCTAATCCTATCTAATCACTTGCCGGCGTTTAGACGGTTTTTTGTTTTTTTTTTATTATTGTACGCTACACGGCGGTTCGCCTGAAGACCTTTGTTTTTTTTTCTTTTTTTGCCTGCGCGAGTGGATCCCGATCTGTCGGTGGGCGACGCGCCAAAAGTGATGCCAAGGTAAATCGCCGAGGTCAAATGCTTTCGCCGCCATTACGTCGTCCACTCCACCCTCAGTCCACACCCTCAGAAGATTCGTCTGTCTCCCCACTAGGCAATTTTCCCCTTCTTCGATCTTCGTTCTCATCGTGGAATTATTCCTAAATGGCTACTGTTGGGGTTTTCCCATGGCATCCTATGTTGGTTCCACCCCCTTATTTTTACTGATGGCATGATGCAGTCGTACAGCACACTGAGCAATGCAGTTTGACCCGTCAGCACAGCTCCATATACATGCAGGCGCTCACTGCCGTACGTGAATGCTGTTACATCAGACCTCCGTGTCTTGAGAAAGTAAAATCAACGCAGGAAAATCAGGGGGTGCACTATATAATGTCGCTGTACATGCCACGTATAGCCACGGTCTTTCACATCGGATCTATACATTTTCTCGCGCATCTAACACTACACTATTCAGCACCCGGAGAAAAGGGCCCTTTAGGCACACAGCTCGTTGAGCTGACGTCGAGAAAAGTCCAACCCATGGGTAGTACGACTGTCACACAGCCGTCCACGACAGTTTCCGGAATCGGTGATGCGACGCGGCGAAATGGTCATACCACTTCAGGTAAGCGGGCCACGCTCTTTGTTAGAATCACAAAAACAACTTTGAAGTCTCAGCGACGCCAAAGAGACGTGGAACAGTAGATAGGACATTTCCCCGTACCATCACGATGTTCCGTTTGGTAGTGGTGAACTTTTTTTCAAAATCGACTCGTTTTCCTGAATACACTTGTCTGGAATTCCGCACAACCCTCTCATTCGGAAGCATTTCTTCTTTTTAGGTTTTCCTTAGGCTGCACACCGTGATACCCTTTCACAATTTCAAAAAATTCAGCTTTTCTGACGACGTAGACCTCCATTTTTGCAAATTTTCAGAATTGATGTCGTTAACTTTCGACAACAATTCAATATTCCATTACTTGCTCTATTCCCAAACTGACGAAAATCGATGTGTCTGTATGGGACCAAGCCGTCGTCCCACTTTTTCATGAAGAATCGCAAATCGTGTCTGAAATCACCTGCAGTTCATGTTTCATGACTGGAACGAGAAAACTTCAAACAATAGGCTGATTGTCCGTTACAACTGGCCACACTTGCCGTCGTCTATCATTTTTCTAACGTCACAAAAACTAGACCCATCAAGAGCTACCCAATCTTCTCATTACGTATCAACGGGACAAAACCCCTAAATCACTACCGTGTTTCCGGATGTTTCCAATAGTGAACGCTCAGGCACCATTTTCAGAACCTTGGATAAAAACTGGCTAACCGAGTGCTTGTATTCATCTATGAAGGACCATACCTTAAGATTTTGTTCACGATAGTTGGAAACGACTTTAGAAAAAATACCAAACTCTAAGTTAAGCAGGATTCTTTTTTTCATTCCTAAAAAAACAGTGGTCCATCGATTTAGAAGTTTTTGCCTTTGTCCTACAGCATCATAAGTTACTGAAACCAAATAAAGAGTATAGGAGTTTTCGGGGCAGAGGTGGCGTAGTCACGTGGCGCCACTTTTCAGACGCACGATCGGGGGATCAGATCATGGATCGAACCTCACAAAGGGTAATCTTCCAAACCTGCAGGGTCGGACAATGGGTTGCAGACTTGTCTGTAAGGATAAACAGTGACTCAAACATTGGCTCAACTCCGCTAGTCATTGTTTAGACCATGCCACATTCGAGTGCCGCTACGGTTCAGAAAGGAGTAGAGTACCTCCCCTTTCAAAAATTGAAGAGCGTCGGGTGCAGACCATACACCACAAGTGACGACGGCCTCCAAGTAAATCTGGTTAGTAGTGGTTCATAGTGATAGCTGATTTTTGGTAAATGATAGTTGTAATTAGTGACAACTGATAGAATACAACTGCAACAGGCTAATCATTTCATTGGCAGAAAACATTTACATTTTGTGGAGGCCGTCGTCACTTGTGGTGTATGGTCTGCACCCGACGCTCTTCTCGTTTTTTGAAAGGGAGG